TGATATCAAAAAGTCCCATTCAGTAATGACATCTCAAATCGTCGGCCCTTGAGAGGCCCGAATGAACTTTCCCCTCATGTCTTTATCCCTTACTGCTTAGGAAAAGCAGCGTCAAGGAGGTCTGAGGCAGGGACAGGTGGATGAACCCTTGAGCACAGACACACAGTATGAAGATATTCACCTTCATGTCAATACTTTCTAGAAAGCCCTCACCTTGAAAGGAGGAGGTACCGAACAACCAGACACATCTTTCCTCTATTCACTTTTCCTTTTAGCTTAAATTCATTGTTTTCTAATTTATATACAGACACTTTCCATTTTGACTTAAGACAATAATAATCAGAATAGCTTCTGTTTTTTGTGGTTCTCTCAGTATAGGTGTCTTCCTTTATCCTGGAAACAGGGCTAAGACCTAGGAATGACAGACAGAAATGATTTCCTTTACCAATGGAGAAAAGTGATGTTCAGAGATAAGACCTGCCAACTCAAGGCCCTGAGTCAGGTGGTGAAGGAGAGCTTGGTTAGCGCTGTCCACCAGTAGGAAGTGCTGGTCTCAGGTCTGGGTGTGACCACCAGATGGTCCAGAGAGGCTTCTTCAATCATCCTGAATGTCCTGGCTGTGACTGGTGAATGGGCTCAGTTCTAGGGTGTTCTTCTCCTGGCAAGGCCACCCACCAGTCATGTCCTAGAGCTGCTGCTCTATGTGGGCTTCCTCTCCAGGTCCTACTACAAAGGGGCCGCATCAAGTCATTCTCAAGTGATTTTTCAATGTTGTGATGATTGACAATGTAGACAGGAATGAGAGCTAAAATTCACTCAGTGCGTATACAGTGGCGGGCATTGGGCTTAGTGCTTTATGTATATAATCTCACTTAATCTCAGACTTCCTTAATGTGGTCTCAGCTTTACAGATGAAAGAAACTGAGGAATAAAGAGGCAATGAGTCACGACTCATTTTCAGAGAAGCATTTCATTGTGGGCATTGCAGAAAGCCTTCTGTTGAACACAGCAGACTACCATGAACTTGCCCTCCAGCCTTCATGACCCAGGAATCCTTCCTCAGCCTCTGCTAAGTGTTGAGAAAAGAATAATGGTGGACTGGAACTCTGGAGATGTGGGTTCAAGACCCGCTTCTGTGATTTATTGGACGCTGTGTGTAGGGAGGATGGCTTTCAGGCAAACTTTATTCACCTTTGCTATTTTCTCTTTGCTATCCATTCTTTTTCCAGTCATCATTCAGCTCCTGCCAGCTAGCCCCTCTAGCCAATTCTTATTTCCTGGCCATGCCAGTCTGATTACTTCTAATTGTCTTTGACTGCTTCCAGCTGGGTCTTCTTGCTGGCATTCTGTGGGAGCACATAGATTGTTTCCTAGCCATATGGAGGGAGGAGATGGGGAAAGAGATGGAGAGGAAGGAAGCAGCTGGTATAAGTCAACTGAAAACGCTTTTCATGGCCTTCCTGCCTACTGGGATTGGCGATGTTTTTTAAAGGGTTAACTCACCCAAGTTACAGAATGCTCATCTTTGACAAGATAACTATTCTTTTTTCATTTTTTTATTGAGGCAATATTGGTTTACAATGCTGTATATGATTTAGAGGTAAAGGATCACACCCCAAAGGGTGTTACCATACCATACCCACCACCGAGGCACCCCCCCCGTTCTCTACCCAATCATATTTGTTGACCCCCAAAGGCAACCAACACTATAACTACAAATACTTCTAGAAAATTATTAGAAATCTCCTCCCTCAAGACAGATGGGGTCTTGCTGTCAAATACAATGAAATTGCACTCACTTGAGAGTCAGTGGATGATTACTTTCATTCATTCAACAAATATGTGGTGAACAGCATCCAACAAATATTTGGTGAACAACATCCATTCATATCATTATCGTTCATAGTCAGTGACACAGGACGTATATGAAATGAATAGGAAATAGGAAGAAACAAGAAGGGTGAGTGATGCTTGCAACTCATTGACTAGGAAGGATCTCCCAGGAAAGAGAACATCTCTGCTGGCTGCCATTCCGTCAGAGATAGCAAATTGGGGCGAGGGTGGCTTAGACATAGGCAAAGGTGAAGAGGAGAGGGTGCATAATTCTGGAAGAAGACAGCTGAAAAGTAGTCTCTGTGGAGAGCCCACAAGAGATGAGAAATTTATTTAGGATAATTTATACAGAATATTCAATGCTGGATGATCACTCTTCAACTTGATGCTTTCTGCAGCTCCAAAATAAGGTAATGTTTCATGTATAAATTTATCTTACACAAAGGAATTTCTGGAACAGGGGTAACATGGGTAAAAGAGGTACCTGAAAGGTGACGAATAGAATTGGATTTTTAGGGGTGAACTTCATGCAGTATATAGTGTAAAATTCGTATGGACATGTAGTATATGTGCTTTGTATTGATGCATACCTGTAACATATAAACGTATCGTGCAATGTTACTTTAATAAAAAAATTTAAAAGAAAAAAGTAGCTACAATAACTTAGTGACACAAAAGATAAAAAGAACTATGGCCTTGAAAACATCATATGTGGGGGAAAGAAAAAAATGAAAAAAAAAAAAAAAAAAAGGAATTCCTGGGGTGATTTCTTATTAAATAAGGCCATTTCAGAGAGCAAGACCCTTCCTTCAAAAACCAGTCACTAAGCCCGGGCAGATGTAGGATTCAGATTTCTCTTTGGCATCCATCCCAGCTGATGGAATTAGCAGTGAACTTGAATCAAACTGAGGCTGCAGGCTTGAAAAAGATTTAATGGGCCTGGATTCTCTCTCTTCTTCACCCCTTTCCTGACCTCCACCCCCAGAGGATAATTAAAGGGAAAGAAAATCTCTATTTCATTGTAAATGTCTTCTACCATTTTTGTGCCTGAGGCTAACCTTTTTCTTTCTTTAAGGCCATGGAGATACTTTGATGAAATGTCTTTGAAATTTGCCCTACACCATAATAAAGGAAGCTCTCAATTTTCATAAAGAATTGTGTCCTAAAAATTTTTTTTAAGTCATCCTCTGCTAATACAACACTGGGGAAACTCCAAAACCTTTTCTGAAGGAAGATACAGAACATTTCTACCTCCAACGGGGGTTCCCTGCGCTTCTTTCAGCAGACATTTGTTGAATGTCTACATTGCAGACAATCATGCTGGTCTCCCAACCCTTCTCCTTCCTTGGATGTCCTAGAATTTGATGATTAAATCAGAGAATGAAAGCTACTGGGTTGGTCATGAAGCAACTGTGGGGATGGGGTGTTGGCAAAGAAGACCCTCAAGCACAGAAAGAAATACATTTACAAGTAAGAAAGACTATTTCACAAGGCTATGAATAAATAAACCACCTTAAGGACATCTATACGCAGAAACTAAAACAAATCCTACTGAACTACTGGAATACAGGCAGGGGACCAAAAAGGAAAAGCCAACGCATTTACAAGTGTATCTGTCATATTGCAAAATGGGAACAATAAGAACCGTAGGAAATACAGCTCAGCCACAGAGTGGTGACAGGCACCGTGTGAGGAGTTGATCGGAGCCTATTAAAAATTACATCTATTTAAAATAGACTGTCTGGGTCACTTTTCCAATGGGTCAGTGAGCCCCAAGACACTGGATTCCTGACAGCTGTGCCTCCCCCCGGTCTCCATGACGTGGATCGTGCCATCCTTGTTTACCGGGGAGCGAACAATGAAAGGAACTTGGAGAGGACCGAATCCTCTTTCAACTCCGCCGTAGGATCAGGGTTAGGGCTGCATTAGATGCTGGCGCCTTTCATCTGGCTGCTCAACAGGTAGCGTTTTGCAAATGCCTCCCCCCACCTAGCCTCTCCCTACCCCCAGCTTCTCCCTCACGAGCGCTCATTTTCTTTTCGTTTAAGAAGACCTTGGTGATCCTGGGGAAGATCAAAGTCCCAGGGCAGCCTTGTTTACCAGGGATCTGCGCGCACAGAACAAAGCCCACAGGGCAGGGCGCGCCGGGCTCCCTCGCCCAGCTCCCCGCAGCCTCGTGTCAATGGAGAGCCAAGAAGGTGTAAACGTACGCGCAGAGGCAGCGGCCGCCCGGGTTCCTACGTGGCTGCTGCTACTATGATTGTTGCGGCTGCTCCTCCTCCGGCACAGCAGTCGGGTCTGCGCGCGAGCCCCGGCGCACGCCCGGCCACCTCCCCACCCTGCCTTCCACCCGCCACCCATCCAGGGCCCTCCCGGTGCCCGTCCCTGCGCAGGGCGCCGGCACCTAGCCGCGGGCCGCGGGGCTCCGGGGCGCCCCCCGCCCTGGCTCGGGCCCCCAGCTCGGCGCAGCGGGAGGGGGGATTTCAGCGCCCGACGCCCCGCGCCGCCCGGAGCCCGCGCGCGAGGCGCAGCCGGAGGCGGCCGGACCGGGGCCGGCCGGGAGCGCGCGCCCCCGAGGCCGCGCGGGGTCCCCAGTCCGGCGCTCAGGTGGCCCCGCCGCGCGCCCCGGCGCGCCCCTCCCAGGGCCCTCCCCTCGGCGGCGGGGGTCGGGCCGGCGAGGCGCGCGGGGAGGGAGGGGCCACGGGGATTTGAAAGTGCTCGGGCTGCGGAGCGGGGCTCGCTCTGTTCCCGCCGCCGCCGCCGGATTAAATTTCTGCCAATCCAAACTGAATGGGGCTTTCTTCTGCTGCCTTCCCGAGGGCGCCGGCAGCCCGCCGCCCCGCGCCCCGCTAGGAGCCAGGGAGCCGGCCCCGCGCCCGAGTGGGCCGGCGGGCGGAGCGCCCGGCTGCGGGACCCCGGCCCGCGCCCCCCGCGCCCCGCGCCCCCCGCGGCGTGACCGCCCGTAGCCGCGCGCCCGGCGCCCGGGGAGGGGTCCCGGGCGACCCTCCGCCAGAAGAACTTCTGGGGGGCGGGCCCGGCTCCCCCGCGGCCCCGGCGGCCGCTATTGTCTGCGCGCGGCGCGGGCCGGGCGGGGCCGGGCCGGGCGGCGGCGGGGGGCGCCGGGGCGCGGGGGGCCCGCGGGGGCGGCGGGGCCGCGGGCGAGCGCGATGCCGGCGGCCGCGGGGGACGCGCTCCTGGGCGAGTCGGCGGCGCCCGGGGGCGGCGGCGCCTCCGAGGACGCGGCGCGGCCGGCGGCGGCCTGCGAGGGAAGTTTCCTGCCCGCCTGGGTGAGCGGCGTGCCCCGCGAGCGGCTGCGCGACTTCCAGCACCACAAGCGCGTGGGCAACTACCTGGTGGGCAGCAGGAAGCTGGGCGAGGGCTCCTTCGCCAAGGTGCGCGAGGGGCTGCACGTGCTCACCGGGGAGAAGGTGAGTCCCGCGGGCGCCGTCGCCGGGCCCCGGGCGCGGGATCGGGGCGCGGGGAGCGGCGGGACCGGGGGGGAGCGCGGTCCGGACCGGGCGCCAACCCTCCTGCGCCCGACTGTGCTCCGGGGTGAGCCCCGGCGCGCGCCCACCCTGGCGGCCGGGGACCCGGCCTCTCCGCGTCGCGGGCCGGGGGCGGTTTCCCACCCGGGCTGCGGGTTCGCCCGCCCAGCCGCGCGCTGGTTCTGGGCTCCTGGAGAGGCGCCGCCTGGCGGACACCCGCGCGGGAGGGGTCGGGGGACCGAGTTGGGCTCTCGCGGGGGTGGGGGTGCAGGGCCAGGGGAGAGGCCTGGAGCGCTCGGGTGGCCGGGAGAGCTGAGAAGCCAGCCCCGGAGGGAGCTTCCACCCCGCGCCTCCTCCCGGGCTAGGGAAGTTTTTTGTGCTCGCAGGAGGGGCTGCACGCGCGCCCTCCACACCCCCAACCCCCAACCCTTCCCACTCTCTTCCCTCCATTCCCTCTCCAGTCCCTCCAGCTCCCGGGTGGGAGCTTGCAGGTAGGACGCTGCTCCGGCAGATGCAGAAGTGCAGGCGAGCCCCCAGACTGAGGGGCTGGGAGATGACTTGTCTTTAGGGTGAAAGCAAAGGAAGACCCCTAGAGACCAGCCCTGTGAGAAGCTGGGGGGTGGCGAGCCCTTCCAGGCCAGCAGGGCCCAGGTAGCCAGAAACTGTGGATTAGATTTCTGAGAAGAAACCCAAGATAAGAGGGCTTAATTTGGGGGTGAGTGGTCAAGGCATTGGTTTCACCCCAAGTGGTAAGGCTACCCCGTGCTGGGAGTTCCTCCAAGCTTGGAACCACTTCAGATTAGGTGACCAAGTTCATGGTCATCTCAGACTTCAGGCGCCCCCAGGTTGGAGTAACCCACTGGTCAGGGGCCTGGGGCAGCTTGGGAGGGACAGGGGAGCGCAGGCTTCCTGCCGACCCTTCGCCCTCTGCTCTGGAAGCCTCTGCCTTTCCCCTTCCCCCTCCCAGCCCCCTGTGCAGTGCCTTGGATTTCAGCTGACTTGCACACACCTCCCCCAACTACCCCCCCCCCCTTCTGGCCTCACCTAGCCTTAGCTCCCCTCTTTCTTTCTCCATGGTGTCCTGAGCCCCTTAGGTTCCGGGTGCAGTTTTCCATCCCCCTGGTCATGTCCTCTGCCCCTGCAGGCACTCCAGGTGGGGTGCACCTCTGTTGGGGTTAAGTGGGTAAATGAAAAAGTGCCTCTTGTGTGAATCCCCATACAAAAAGGGAGGGTTCAGGATGAACTCACAGAATTGAGTAACTCTGCAAAGAAGAAATAAGAACAGCTCTAAACCTCGTTATAGTCTGACCAAGCCTTGGCTTGCAGCGAGCAGGCCCACATACCTATCCCGTCAGGGTGCAGGCTGCCCAGCGCCCCAGCTCTGAGCACTGGGCACCCACTTTTCCATCCCTGTGTAAGGTCTTGTTGTCGTGGGTGGTAGAAGTTTACTCTTATTCCAAATGTATATGATTCCGTCTGCTCGTGTGTGTTTCTCCTGAAACTTAGCAAGAAGAGGCGAGGCTTTCGTCTGATCGCATCACGGCAAAGCAGTGGGTTTCTCTCCACTTCCCCCTGCCCACCTTGTGCCCAGACTGGGTTTGCTTCTTATCAGAAGTCTGTTGGCCTTGGTTGAACTCCCTGGGCGTCTCTGTCAGTGTCCAGCCCCTTCGCATTGCTTGGTTTCCTGAGCTCTGTGCCAGACCCATAGGAATGGGGTCCAGTGAGGAGTCTGCTGCATCCGCCTCCCCTCTCACCCCACTGCTCACACCCTCATCCCTATCTTGTTGCCCTTCAGCCCTGGATCTCTCTGAAGGAGGTATTAATTGGCTGTCACATTATTTCTCCATGAATGGATTGTATCTAGTTAAGGACCAGGGTGAGTAGGGGGAGGTTGGGGATTTTTCTGAACTGTTCCACTCTAGTCATGAGAACCAGTGCGCCCAGGATGGCTAGCCTCATGAGAACTCTGGATTTTAGTTTACTTAATTGCCAGCTTTAAAGAAACAGTGGGTGTCATTCATAGATCTTATCCTTCAAATCCAACACCTTAATACATTGGGTTTTGTCAGATGATAGAGATTATAGTGTGTGTGTGTGTGTGTGTGAGTGTGTGTTTGTGTCTGCAGAAGGAGCAGCCATCCTCACTCCTATTTTGGGTATTGTCTTACTAAGGCCAAAACAAAGGTGAAGTTAACCTCAAGCTATTTGCAGCCTTGCAGTCTTTTCCAAAGGTGAGTTATTAAGGGGATTTTTGGCTAGAAAAGAACTGCTCCTATGAGCCCAGTAAGGGGAGCCCTTGAGGTGACTGGACCCAGAGGAGAGAAAGGAAGTGTCCCCTAAAGTAGCATCTCTCCTCCAAGATGTCCTTCTTTTAGGGGGGGTGTATACTTTTTGGATAAAGCCTTTCACTTTTCTCCTCTGTTTTAAAGAAACAGGCTGCAGCAGCAGGGGAATTAAGTCATGAACACTGCAGTGAGAAATAGCTGTTTTCCCCTGAACCTCACAACCCCTCCTCCCCGTGGAAGGATTCGGGGTGTCTCATGATGGGGAATCATTTCATGAAAAAACAGAAAGAGGGGCTGGAGAAAGGGAAGAGAAGGGGTACCCCACATGGGTCTCATTTCCTAGGTGCTATGTGAAACGATGTGCTTTGTTTTGGGTGATTTATACTCAATCTGGGGTACCCCTGGTTTAGGACGCTGGGGGAGGGCTGCGTTTTCACTTGATGCATGTTTTCGAAAAGCTGTGGGTAAAATCCTCCTCTGCTGACTGGGAACGGCTGTCTGAGTCCAAGTGACAAAAGCACCACTTCTTCTGGCTTTCATTTCGGGCTTCAATCCTATCTTATCAAGAGGCTGCCTTTCCCACGGCTGCCCGCAGGACAGCGTTGGCCTGCTTTTTCTCTGAAGTTGTTTGTTTGAAAGTCATTTGAATTGAGATGATCCTTTTACTGCTTGAAAGGAAAGGATGCTTTGGACGATACCTAATTTTGTCTTCCCTTACCTTCCGCGGCGGCAACCTCAGCCAATGTGGCTTTCCGAAGAGAGAATGCACTTGTCCAAGTGAAACTCTTCGTTGGCAGCGGCCTCAATCATGACCAGTGTCTTTGACTCAATGGCCGTGAATGATTGGCTGAGGGAAAACAACCACAACATCAGATTTTGAAAAGTGTTCTCTGTGGCTTTGAGAGCAGGAACGAGGTCACTGAGCAATAGTATCAAGCACTGACTTTGAAAGACCCAGAGGGGACAAGTTTGCTGCCCCTGCTTGCTCCCTGGTCCCTCTGAAATGCAGTCTCTGGTACTCTCTATAGGTGGTTATCACATTTTTTAAAAAGCGGATAAAATTGAGTTGGAAAGGCTTCTAAAGAAAAGGCAGGTCTGTCTCAGCTATAGAACAGTGATTTCATAGACAAAGCAGCAAAAAGGGAAAAAATAGTTGATGACACAATTGTCTTCTTTTGTGATTCAGTCTCTCTAAGATACAAAGTTGGATGTGGAACGATGGGTTAAGATGTTTCAATATCTTGTTCTAACTCTTGTTTTTAAAAAAAGCCTGTTTATCACTTTCGTTGGAGCTATTTTGGGGCTAAAAATAAGGGTTGCCTGCTTAGTAAGTTGCCAATAATTATGTTTTGAGCACGACAGTGCCAGCTACCTGGAGTGAAGGAGTTACTAAAAATATAATTTACTATGTTTTGCGGAGCAGGAAATATGACTAATTTTTAGAGGTGGCCTTTTGGCAGATCTGCTTCTGCAAGTATTTGGGAAACAAACAGGTGCTAAATCCTGTGTTTTTTTTTTTTTTTTTTTTAATGTGCTGGAAATTTAGGGGTAATCGCTTGGAGGAACAAGAAATGCTTAGAGAACTGGAAATTCCTATTAATCCTCAGCAGGGATTTCTTGGCAAGAAGGTGGCGTCTGGCAAAAGCACCTGCTCAAGATGTCGTGTGTGACAAGGCAGTGCCTGTAATTTCTGAGATTGCTCGCTGCAGTGTGAGGCACTATCCTTGTGAACTTCCTGCCCTGCCTCGTCCTTTGAAGTAGGCGTGGATGATAGAAATTGGCACGTGAGGGCTTAGTTTTCAAGGTTCATGAGTGTTCAGGTCCTTTGGACTTAAAAGAGTGCTGTGAGTCGGCACCATCGTACTGAATGGTGCCCAAGGAGAGGAACACAACCTGAAATTTCCCATGCAGGTGTGTGCCACTGGGTTTGACGACAGCATTTTGCAGGCAGCTGACCCTCATCCTCCTGGTGGGTCTCCTCTCAGTCGTTTTGGGGAGCAGCAGCTCTGTTTGCCCAAAGACACCAGGCTGCCTGGGTGTCCTCTGTGGGAAGGTGGCTTGAGTACCAAATATCATTTATTCCCTCTTGATTATTCATGGTAACTGAGAAACTGTGCTCCTGGCTAATTGAGACTCACCAAAGCTTATTTTAGCAAACTGGTGAGACTTTTCTCCACTCAGCCTGAATTCTGAGCTGAATGTCACATTATCTGCTCAGCTGCAGCTGGCTGGTAACATGACCAGCAGGAAAGAGGTTAAACACGGGACCTGAATCTTACCTGAGCAGGCTGACACCCCAACAAACTCGAGCTAGCTGTTGCTTCTTTACCCTACATACTGCCTCAGTGGTGTTGTGTCTGGTGGTTTATGCAGGGTTTTCCGTGCATTTTGTCATTAGATGCTCTCGGTGACCCCAGCCATGGGGGAACCAGCTTGCTGGTTTTTTTTACCCACATTGACCAAGCAGATTTTCCTTCTGACCCGTTCTTCTCTATTGCTAGGGCTGCCGAAGCAAGTGACCACAAACTGAGTGGCTTGAAACAACAGATATTTATTCTTTTACACTCTGGAAGGCCAGAGGCCAAAGTCAAGGGGTCATAATGGGCAGACTCTTAGGGAGAAGCCTCCCTTGCTTCTCTTACTGCCTGGTGCTGGGCC